GATTCACAAGCCAACCATGTAAAACATGGAGTTAACTAAGTGATCTTGCAGAACTTGGTGGGTTCATATTATTTTATTCAGAGCTGAAAAAGTCTGCAGTAAACCATTCCCTAATTCCACCCTTGTCCCACCCTCCATGCCTCTCCATTCCCTCACCAACACAGCACGAATGCTCTAGGGGTTATAAGCCAAAGCAGAAATCCACGTACCACTTACATAACTCGAATGCTTAAAAATTTAACCACAGTTCAATGTTTTTATTATGGTCTATCTGCTCTAAGATGCTCAAGATGGACAAAATTTACATCAACTTCTGGAAGATCTGCACATTACAGGTTGAAGCATAAATTTAACAAACCTCATCTTCAACTTGCATCACCAATTCCCCAAGACTCAAAACAAACCACGGCAGCAGCCAGTGCTCCCTGAGAAGAAAAAAAGCCTTCTGCCTACACAAAGCCTAGAACAAGTGGCTGTTAGATCCCAGGAGAAAGGAACACTGGCAATGAAAACATGAGCCTTAATACTTCCTCATGGAAGAGTTGGAGTTATTTACTTCTAAGTTTACATAACTTTCTTGGAGGAAGAGCATGAATTGATAAACGGAATTGAAGGAAAGGGAAGGCTGCCTGTCTTTCTGCACAAGATCGAACAAAATGAGAATTTTCTTGGGCACAAGTATTTCAAATAAAATTAGTCAGTGAAGCTTATATGTATATATATATATATATTTAAACTCCTTTTATCCCAAGTGCATGTGTAGAATCTCCCCAAATGCTGTCCAGAATTCATGTAGCACTGATGCACCAAAATAGTTCTGAGAACTGGCAAAACACTATTTTGTAGTAGTACTCCAGAGAAGAAAGACAGCTCTGCAGGAAAGCAAAATTACTGAAAGCACTCAAAAAACCCCCTCCAACTATAACGATCAAACCCTACATTGGGTCATGCTGGTTTTCAGAAGGATCTGTCCAACCAATTTTATGGTGACACCTGCATTGAGAGAAGAATGACTTCTTGCTAAAAAGTTCATTCAATACAGCTTAATGTTACTTAAATTTTGAAAATGAATTCCCCAAATGCTTTCTCAATTCTCACATACTGCTTATTTCTGTAAGAAACGTGCCTTTTTTTTTTTTTTACTTTCTGCAACTTTTCCATTAAAGCACATTTAAGGCTACTATCTTCCACTAGCTAACCAGTCACAGCAAAAGAGCTGAAATACACTTGGAGGAAACATGATTTCTGTAAGGGAGATCTAACATGAATAAATTATCTCTCTCCAAGTTTTAACTGCAAATCTAGCATTCTCTGGCAACACTTCTCACAGATCAAATATATCACCTTAAAATTAGATTTGCTGCAAGCTTGTTTGAGAGCTTTGAAGGTATTCCTCTAGGCAGTAGTAATGGGCTCACTGAGAGTTAAGCAGTGAGAGCCAATTTGAGACCCTGAGAGTACTTTAAACTCAACCAAGGAAGAAAACAACCCCCTACACTTCTCCAAAACAAGTTCAATTAATTCATATTTTGTAGGAATATCAAATCTGCATTTTGTATAATGCACATACTGTGTATTGAGTAGACTACTGCACTCTTCCAAATAATTAAAAAAACCCCAACTTGCTAACTATAGTCAACTCACATCACAGACAATTACTCGACATTTCAGAAATTATTTTGTTATTTTTAGCATCCATATTCATATCTGCTGCATGTTTATGAATCTGAAACAACAGGGTTTGAACATTCCTTAAGAAAAAGGAACCTACAGTCACTAAAAAGCCCTCTTACACTGTTCCAGCTCCTGCTTTACCACCACCCTGAATGCTCTCTGGATAGACTATAGATATGGAACAGCTATATTTTATGAAAGTATTAAAAGTACCAGAAGTGGTTATTGAAAGTAGCACACTGGAAGTCTTCTGTGGTGGTACATAAGGATACTTAAGCTTCATCTCATCAGTTTGCTCTACTTAATATAAAGTAAACTTTCATAAAAATGTATTTTTATTACACTTCCCAAGTTTGAAATATGCTCAAGTCTGAAGTCTCAGAGAATGCATTCTCATTTGGACTCCTTCTGATGCAAAGATTATCACTGCCTTTAAGTCACGATGAACAAGAGAACACAAGAAAGTTCTTTTAAGTAAGACAGTTTATAAATTAGAAAAAAATGCATTTTTTTTCCTATTACGAACAGAAAAACAGAAAACTCTTTTTCTCAACTACTTCTGATTACTGTACAACCCACTTCAGCAAAACAGTGCACATCATGTCACTGCCCTTGAGGTAAGAAAAGCACCATCACAGCACATACCAGGAGCAAATATTAAGGGACACTTGGGATGGCAGATAATCTGTCACCAAATACCAGAAATAATAAAGAAGAAATCTAGAATAAAACTAATTCCAAGGTATTAGGATCTCCAGGTAGAACACTCCTGGTTTTCCAATGTTTTGGTCAATTTCTACTTCATTTCTAGTAAGGTAGAAAAAGTGAACTTTAGTAATGTTTTGTAAAGTACTATTTCTCCTTTCCTTTAGTTACACTAAAATATAACAATAACAGAAGTCTGAAAGATACTATAAAAATATAAAATATTAAAGAAAAAAAAAAACTACATGGAGGAAGTTACCCTAATATTGCTATGCTCCAGGAACATTAACTCTTCAATTTGGCTACTTGTAGCTTAATGTAATAGTAAATAGCTACCTCCCATGCAAGCAGCAAACTAATCTAAAACAGGTAGACCTCCTGAGGAAAGATGATCAATAAGAAGACAAATTGAAGCAGCCTACAAAGTCACCTCTGGAAGTACTCTTAATTCAGAACCAAAGCACAGAACTAGCAAATTTGGGATAAAAGAGTGAAGAAGCTGCTGTAGGAATAGTACATTTTCTAAATATAGACTCTACCCCCCACAAAAATGCACCTTGCTGATATGAATATTTATCTCCCTGCAGTCACTGGCACCATTCACAGGACCAAAGCTCAACAACCACTTAGGCCTCCCCAAAATTTGCAATAGGATCTTTACATGAACTAAAAGCTACTGACTTCTGCAATTATGACAGGTAAACTCCTCCAAATCTCTCAACAAAGTACATGCTTCTTTTCTGTAAACACTTGATCAACACATGCTTGTAGCAAATGTGGGTAGAGCCCTTCCCAAATCTTCGTTCACGAAGCTGAGCCATGATGATCAACAGCACTGTCAACAAACTGTCTTAGAACAGAAAATCTACTGGACAGAACACCTGCAAAGTTGCTCTCAACAAATGTCACCAAACACTTGACATTTGTCACCAAACCTTGATGACTAGTTACTTACTGAATTATTTTAGGAAGGAAACATTTTTTTTTTTTAAGTTTTTAAAGTTTTAACCTAGATATTCTTTAAGCAACTGAAAAGAAAGACGATGCTAGTAAAAAACAGTTTCAGAAGAAAAAACCTGATTCTAGTGTTTAACTTTATGTAAGAACAGGGCTCCCTTAAAGCATTCTTCACCTTCCCAAAACAAATTTCATATGCTCACATACAAAACTGGTGAAAAACACAAACCTAACTTTACCCCATTGTTAAGTCTGCCTTTGTTGGCTGACTCATAACTACATATTCACAGCTGGAATACATGAATCTGTTTATCAAATTAAAAGACTGATATCTTTTGGTGCAGTTTGTTATAAAACATACACATTGGGTTTGTTATGGTTTATTTTTGTACAGGTTTTCCTACTGCTTGCTAGTAAAACCCTGTTACATTGCAGCAAGTCTTTTTATTTCTTTATTTCTATAAGCCAACATGTCTTAACAAAATTGACATTCTTAGAAAAGGCTATTTAAAGAAATAAACGAAATCTGGAGATCAAAAACCTCTAATCAGCTAAAATTCCTAATTTCATAGCCCACTTTTTTTCTTTTTACTTTTCCCACTAAATGCAACCATCAGTGATTAAAAGTAAAGGAAATAGTAAAACAGTGTAACTCAGATTGCTATGATTAAGCTGGCTGCTGAGAATATAAAGAAATCTCTTAATTTCATCAGCAAGAGTTTTGATGAAGCAAATATATTGATATATTCCCTGTCAGTGAAGTGAGATAAACAGGTATGTCCAGTTCCTTTATAAAGGCAAGGCACATTAGTTCTACACCACTGCCTACCGGGATCAGACATAGCACTGAGAAGTTAACACTAAACCTTAAAAGCCAGAGACTCGACTAAGTGTCTTCTTTATAACACACACTCCACTGAACACATACACACTTCCTGGCCATCCTCTGGCAGGCTGAAGCTCTTCTGTTTCTCTTGTTCTGCAACACCATTACTTGTGCTGTAGTTGCTACTCTGTTGTAAGCTTTAATTGAAACAACTGTCAAAACATAGCCAGCTACGGCACTTTAAATTAATAATCTGGCTCCTTCTCCTCTGTAACTCAAAGGGAAGGCACGCTGTCGGCTCTGCCGAACCTGCAACGAAGTTACCTATGCCTACATGTTTATAGTAGTACCTTCCGAACCAGCTGGCACTGTGCCACCTAAATCTTATAATCATACGACTTATAGCCTCTTTTACGGAGCGGAAAGCGAAATAAATTTTCTAGAAAAGGAAACTCTGCAGAAGACATAAATAAATACTCCCCCCGCCCCCCTTCCCCCTTCCGGGGCTAACTAATTTTGTTGATGTCGGCGTATATAACCTTCGGCTCCTTCTTGGAGGCCTTTTCCTTGAAAACAAAGAAACCCAGCCCCCCCCCTCCCCAAGCCGTACGTGGATTTTCATAATTGATTTGTTTGATGAGGTGGGCGATAATCGCGGGGACCAGTTCCTCCCGCCTCCCACTGGAGGAGCTTCCCCGAGGGGCAGCTCCCGCACCTCTCCCGGGGTGCCGCGGCCGCTGACAGCTCCCCCCGCCGCGCTCGCACCCGCACGGCCCGCTGGCGGGGCGGCGGGGCCTGCGGAGGGCCGCCCGCCGCGGCCCGTGGTGCCCGTACTCACGGGGAAGGCTCGGATCCGCATTCTTGGTGTCCTTCCGGCTGCCCGCGTCCCCTTGCTCAGGTTCGACATCTTCGGGCCCGGCGGCGCCTCCCGCGCGGGCGGCAGCGCCGGGGGACTCGCGGCGGGGGGCGGGGCCGGGCTGCGGGGGGGAAAGGCCGCCGGCGACCTTCGGTGCGGGCGCGGCCCCCGGGGTGCCGGGCCGGGCCGGGCGGGGGCGGCGGCGGCGCGGGCCCCTCGCTCCGCTGGCGCGCTTCCCTTCAGCCTCCGCCGCGATGGCGGACAAACATCGCTCACTGCGCAGGGTCGGGCGCCCCCCCGCTTCCCTTCGCTTCCTTCCCTTCTCTTCCTTCCCTTCCTCTCCTTCCCTTCCCGTCCTTCCCTCCCTCCCACCGCCCGGCGCGCTCGGATCCGGCCGCGGCGGGGCGGGGCGGTGGGAGGGCCGGGGGCGGGGACAGGCTTTCGCGCCACTCTCGCGAGACGTTCCCCCCCCATTTCTCCGGCGGCTGTCGGGGCGGGGAGGGGCGCCGCTGATTGGCGGGAAGCGGCGCCGCGCGGGAAGGGGCGGGGCCGAGGGCGGCCCGGCCCGGGAGGGGCCGGGGTGCCCGGGCGGTCGGGAGGGGGGAATGTCCCGCCCGGCCGTGTCACGGAGCCGTGGCCTCGCAGAGTCACACAGTCATAGAGACATCGAGGTTGCAACAGACCTTTGGGATCATCCAGTCCAGCCGTCCACACTGTAACAGCCCCTAAGCCACTAAACCACGTGACCCAGCGCTAGCTCCAGATGCCTCTTACAGAATCACAGAATCGATTACGTTGGAAAAGACCTCTGTGATCATCGAGTCCAACCTTTGACCTAACACCACCTTATCTAGTAGACCATGGCACTGAGAGCCACATCCAGTCTCTTCTTAAACACTTCCAGGGATGGTGACTCCACCACCTCCCTGGGCAAACTTTTCCAATGCCCGACCAATATCCCACTTGTCAGACTTGTGGCAGGTGTTTCATGAGGTTTAAAGTGCAAGTTTTGGCACTGACAGGGAAGCCTCAGATGGGCCTTTCAGCTGCAAACGGGACACAGCCCCAGGTGGGCAGTGCCTACCCTGTGCCTGGCACCCGGCGGTAACCTGGCTGGGCACTGCTGGAAAAGGAACAGCAGACCCTTCCTGTTCCTTGCCCTTGAAGTCTCCCGGTCCCTGTGAATCATGTCAGCGGCAGGCGGGTCCCGCCGCAGGGTGCCGTGTTGCAAGGCAGGTGTATGTATGGATGCTCCGTGCTCACAGGGTGCTGTGTTGCAAGGCAGGAGTACTTATTGATGCTCCGTGTCTGTGTTGCAGTGCATGCCTGAGAAATGACGGTGCCACCTGAGGCAACGCTTACATATGCCCAGAGTTAAATATAGGTCGTTCAACAAAGGGCAGTTGCTTTAGAAGGGAAGAATGTTTAGAAAATGTCAGATTCTGCAAGTTAGGAGCGTGGCACCTCTGAAAGTTAGGCTGGTAGGCCAGAAAAAAAATCTAGATCCCAGATGCCAGGGGGCTGACTGAAAAGTTAGTGGATTTTGAAAATGAAATCTGGGTCAAAACATGTCTTGCTCAAGATTCCCCAGAGGAAGTGTGTGGCACAGCCAGGAAGAGAATTTCTTTCTGGTGACTCTTAAACTGGACTCTGAATACCAGGACATCGTGTGATGTACATTTTTCATCCAGCTCCATGTACCTCCATCATTGTTGTTTTCCTTCAGGTGCCTGTACACCACACATGCCTTCAGGGAACAGATGCAACATATCTTCTCTGAGCTAGTTTACCTTCTGTAACAGTAATGTCACCAGTTTTGCCTCTTTGAGTTTTTTTACAAACACTTTCCATTGGGACGATGTGTGTTCATAAATGACATATTTTTTAATCTCCTGATCAAAATTAGGCACATAACGCCTAGAGTAGGTGTTATATAACAGCAACACAATAAACAATGATTGCAACATGACTATGCAATAGGAACCAGTCCTTTTCAAAATTACAGTATAGTCAAAATGCAGATGAAACAAAGATGAGATGAGAAGGGAAAGATTGCCAGTTGTTAATATGAAGAATATGGCTTACACATTGTCTCAATATAATTTCAATCTCATTTCTCCTTCTAAGTACTTCCTTCGCCAAATGAGGACAACCTCTCCTGCTAGTATTTTTTTTTCCACTCCATGACAGTTAACATCAAGTCATTTGAAAAGGTTTAACTTTGACTCTTGCAAAAACAGTTTGCAGAACTGAATAAAAGTCAATCTGTACTGAAACACAGAGTTTTCATTTTGAAAATGTTACAAGAGTACTTTTCAACAAATTTAGTGCTGTTTCAAAACCCGAAACTTTCCCCACAAACCATTTCTGAGGAACTGGCATTTCTTCTTTCAAGAAAGAAGAAAAAGAACAACTTTTACCGTACCCATTACTGCAGATTGCTCTAGATTAACTTCTCTAATTACTGCTTCTATGCTTTCTGATATTGGCCTTATGCTTATGGCAGCCCTGGACCACCAGCCTCTTGCCTTCTGTTCATCTAGGTTGCTTTTAATGCACATTTATATCTTAAAGTGGAGAAGTGCTGACTCACGCTCAGACACTGTTCAGTCCAGCTGTGATGGTTTCACTCTAGGCCTTCCTGGAGACCAGCTTGTAACCAGGAAGGAACCAGGAAGGTGATCACGGAAGTATTCCATGCTATTCCTTTAAATAACTTGAGGTATAAATAAAGCCATCAGGAGGGACCTCGGGCTCTTCCTTTCCGGCGAGGTTCGAGAACGGTGGGTCCCTGTCTCGGCCTGGCTTATCTGGAGCCGAGGCCTACAGCGACCGCTGTTATCTGCCGCGCGTGAGGGGAGAGCGCTGGGCCGTGTCCGGCCGTCCTGCCTGTTCAAAGGGAAGTGGTGAGATTTTGCTAATTTACCTTCAGTTGGCTGGTTGACTTGTTTGGTCTTTGTCCCTTTCTGTCCTTTTCCCTTCTCCCTCCCCCTCTTCCCTTTTTGGGGAGCTGATTGGGATTTCTGGAGTTGTGGTGTATAGTATTCTCATTGTATATATCTGTCTCGTATGTAAAATATATATATATTTTTGCTATAGCTTTGGCTGCTTAAGTCGTTTTTTTTCTCTTCCCTCTCAGGGAAGCAGGTCCTTGTTGTCGAGTTTCGGGGACTTGGCGGGAAGCCAGCTCGAAACTTGCACAGATGTCAACTCTCATGTCAAATAGCTTTATTTTTCGTGTGAGCCTATAGCTATCACCCACTAGCACAAGTACAATGACAGTTCTAACTTCATTACTGAAAGCAGAATTTGCAGTCTGAGGCTTCTTTTTGTGCAGCTTTATGACCCAGTGGGTCACATCTGCTGTCCACAAATTCCTCTGTAGCTCCTCCTTTCATGTCTGAGGTCTGTTCTGTGACTGTCCAAGGTGGAGACGATCACTATTTTTTTAGTGCAAATTTTCTATTTCCATACATAATATACAAAATGAGGTTCCACTAAAAATTAGACTTTGAGCTTACACAGAGAACTAATTTAGATGCTTGTTAAGTGCTTATAATGTTAATTCCAGGTGGGTCCAAGCCAGAAGGAAGGCAGGCAGGTGGAGGAGGACAGATTAGCATAAGAAGAGTTAGCCACCCTAGGGCTTAACTGGGTCATCCCAGCTATCTCCCATACATCTCATGCCCTTCTGGCAGTCCAGCCACGAGGTAACGGTTCTTGTGCACAGGAGTGGTCACCCTTGTTGGAAAGTTCATATCTGTGCATTGCAGCAGCCTTAAACCCACCCTGTACCAACCACAACAACATGCAGAGTTGTGAAGACCCCCAAAATAACTTGTGCTGTGCAGAGAAGAGCTCAGCATTATCCAAAGCAGTCATTTACTGTTTGTTTTTATTTTTTCCTGAGGTCCAATCAGTCCTCTGATTTTAGATACTGATGATATCCCTAAATAACAGTGGACATTGCTAAGGTGCCTGCCAATCCACACAAAATATCTCCCCCTGAATGACATGTCACCATCTCTGCCAGCAGAAGAAGGATGGTCCTTTACATTGACCTGTGTACCTTGAAGATTACAGCAAATCTTTAATTATTTAAACACTGGTTTTATAACCTGATTTATACCTTAATATAAAATCTCAACCACGTGAAAATATATAATCTTAATCATGTGAAGGGCGTCAGAAATTTTAGAAGAATGTAAAGTGCACATTACATTAGAATCAATCTAAATTTACATTTTTATAATCAGGCCCTTAAAAGCTTTAAGAACCTTTAAAAGAACATAGCTCTTGTTTAACTTCCAGAAAAACGTGCTCTATATACCTAAAAGAATATGATTTCAAATGGTGACGTTTTGCTTGATAAGGCTTAATTTCACCAAAGCCAGGAATCATGGTTTTTTTTTTTAAAGTAACCATCCTTTCCAAGGAATTATACATACATATTCTCAGGCCTTTCTTACATATTTCCTCACCCCTGCAACCATCAGTGATTCTTGACCATTGAAATACAAAAGCCTTAAAAAAAAAGGTATTTCTATCACAGCAGGAAACAGACTGACCACATCCTGGTCTGCAGAGCACCTACATGCCTGACTGCAAACACAGGGGTAAGCATTTCAGGGCTTGAACTCACTGTAAGCACTCCCCCCCTCCGAAAAAAAAAAAAGAAGCTAAATAACCTTTGCTTATGTGGTGGGAAAACAGTGAGATCCCTCTCTGTAAAGCCCAGAATTCGGGGGAGAGGGAGGAGGGAGGGGCCTCCACTCTTTATTTTTTTGCCTTTTTTTTTTTTTTTATGTAAGTGCCTGCATCACTTTGCATATGATGGTTGCTTTGAGATTTGCATGACTGATATGTGACACAGTAACTGTATGTATAAGACAGTTCCTTCACTTTCCCATGTTACTAATTTGGGAGATTCAGTAAACAAACCATTCTTTTCATCACAATTCCTGCAATCTGAAGAGAAATATATGTATTTACATATATATGTATATATACACTTTTTTTTTAAAAACAACACAGAGATACACACCAGCAAAACAAGC